TGCAAGTATGGAGGAGCAAGTTCTCACTGGGGTTGCTGACACAGCCCACCACAGTGAGCAGAACGCTTGGAACACATCACATCCACTCCTCCGAAGTTCCTCAGCACATCTGCTGTGACAGAGTGTTGAGGCCCCCAGTCTGCTCCCAGGCTGCCAGATCTGCCTCTCCACTCTCACGTTCACCTCCTGGCAGCCTCAAGGTGCTGCAGCCACTTGGGCTGGGAATAAGAGCTGCTGGGTCAGCCAGCTGCTGCCTGCACTGCCAGACATGCTTTCCAAAAAAAAAGGTGCTTTCCAAAGCCAGAAACATATTCAATATTATGATGGCTTAGTGAACTGGCATTGTTTTTCGTATGGAAGAGAGGCAAAGTCTGCAGTGGAAGCAAAGTTTTTTTCTGATTCCAGAAAAAAAAACATCCCAATTTACTGCTAAAACCAGTCACAGTTTGGCTGCTCCAGTCAGGAGAACAAGCACTTATAAATGAATAATTGAACACATCATAAGCCTTTATTAGCCCTACAGCAAACATAAATGCCTTCTGCACAGCACTAAGAAATGCCCTATCAAAAGTGTCACAGATGTGTGGTTTCCCAGAGAGCACTTTGGGATAATTTATACAGTGAAACTCCCAAAAAAACCCACAGAGTAATAATTTTTTATCAGATTTATAGTTTCTTGGTGAAATATGCATCACTCAGATTGCGCAATGTTATTTCATTTTATAGACAATATAAGATTCCTTATGCCTTTAACCAATCACATCCTTGCTTCTAAGTGATTAGATTTTGAAAACGATGGGAAGAAACAAGCAAAAACTGTTGCCCCTTAGCACCTCACTGGTGTTTTCAAACAAAGATCATTGAATTTGAACACAGACCCTCTGGAAGGCAGGCAGGGACCGGTTGCCTGAGCTGAGAACACAGTGACTCAGTCTCATTGGCAGCTGAATGACAGTCTGGGAGAGTCCTGCACTGGGAAAAGAGCTCCAAACTCCAGCAGGCCAGTGCCAAACCCACCCCTTGCCCTAATGTTACATCCATCATGCTGCGAAAAGCAGGGAGTCAGCTAATGCACGGCAGAGGTTACCGGGGCCAGTGGCTCTGGATCAATACCTTAGTGGATGGAAAAACCATTACGGCCAAAAATTATTCTTGTGAATTTGCATAATACAAAGAACAGTGTGATAGGAGGGCGTTATCTCCCCCAGGGGCTCCTGTCACCCCAGTGGTGGTGTGGCCATGAACATGAACAGGCTGTCACCAGGCAGTGCTTCCAAACACCGCAGATGAGGGCTGTGGTTTATGGAGCCACGAGGAGACCTGCCTGTGCCCTGCCTGCCTGGGGCTCCATTCGGGAGGAGACCAAGTGTGCACCAGCATCCCACACACCTGCCTGTGGTGAGAGCAACTGTCCTGTATTTTCAGTGGGGGATAAAAGGGGTGGAGGGAGAGAGAGGGAAAGAAAATCCCCTTGTGAGGAGTCCTAAATCCCAACTGGCTGCTTTGGGGAGAGCTGGGAGTACCCTGAAACCCCAGCAACAGGGGCCCCAGCATCCCATGGCCCCTTACTGCCTGCACGGGGCCCCAGCATGGGGCCACCAACCCGGCCCCAGGCACTGCTAAACCACTCAGGGTTTTGGGGCTCCACATGCCCCCTCCCCTTTTCCATCAGACCCAGAGCAAATACACTCTTCTGGTTTGTGCAGCTCCCTCAGACTCTCCAGCAACACCGCTACCTCAAATCAAGAGTGGTGGGTACAGAGACTGAAAGAAAAAACATGTCCAGTGATGGGGAGTGGTGACCAGGGAAAATGGTGCCATTTCTGTCCCTCAGCAACCAAAAGTGATGATAAATAGGGGACTGGGGGGAACAGACTGATGTAGACTGGGAAGACCATGGTAGTTGCACTGGGATTACCTCCATCACTTGCACAAATGTCGTAAAGCCCCAGACAAACCCCACAATTTTCCTCTTCCGTTTTGTTTCCAGCTGGCTGGGGTCATGGTTCCCACCTTACTGCCCACCCACCGGTAGGGAAAAGGGCCTGGCTGCCCCCAGAGGATCCTACTGCTCTCCCCGAGGGCGGGGGCTCTTCGGGGGTGTCCCCGGATCGGCAGCGCTTGGCCGGCCGTGCGGAGCCAGGGTGGTGAGCACCATCTATTGTCCAAGCGGTGGAGGGGGCTGGTTGGGATACATCCTCTGAGCGAAGGAAACCGTGCTTTTCCTTGCCTGAATGACTCAGAAATGCTCTCCTAATAAATAATTTCTCTACTTCGTAAAACTGTGTTCTCGATGAACGCAAGTACGCTTCGGGGGGCTGCGTGGTTATCAGTGGCAAGCTCTCCTTCCTTGCCTGTGCTAGGCTGCTCATTTTAATGGGCGTGTGGAAATCTCATTAAATACCTCATTAACAGCTCAGCCGGTGGAGCTGAGCTGAAGGGGAGAGCAAGGCAGAGGTGCACTCTCAAGTGCCTCGTCGGAAAGATGCGATCACTGTTGGGGAGTGAAATCTGGGGAGGCCGTTTCGGCAGGGGATGTCACAAGGTAGTGCTGTGCATACCAGATCACTGAGGTTGTTATTCTGTTCCCTTCCCTGTTTCTTCCCAGCCCAGAATGAGCCCCAAAACAAGACCAAACTGTGCTGAAAGCAGACAGTACCTGGCTCAGCTGCAGGCTGGCATGGAAGCAGAGGGGAGGTGGATGCAGTCGTGCATAACCCCCTCCCCAGGGCTTTGGCTGCCTTTCCCTGGCCAGCCTGGGGAGGCAAAAGCAGCATCCTGAACTTGCAGTGCAGAAACAAGTGCCCTGGGAACAGCTATAACATTAATAAAATGAGCTTTGAGCAGTATTTACAGGGTTCTGTTTCCTGGACAAATGTATCTCAATGTCCCTTTCGGCATGAGAAACCCTGCTGCACCAAGATCCCTCGCCAGGAACCAAGCGCGGATCCCCTGAGGCCAGGGAAGTTTATTTGCAGTTACCAAGAAGAGAAATACGCTGTTGCTCAAGCCTGACAAGGAGCCGTTCTGTCCAAGCTGCCCATCACAGGGAAGAAAAGAGCCCGTTTGTCTGTGTGAAATGGGCCGAGAAATCGGTAACCCCAGTGCCGAGCAGCCAGTTGGATCCATGGAGCACAGCCAGAGTATGGCAGTGGGTCCCATGGTCCTGCAACCAGGGCCAGGGTTCCCCAAGACCACCAAGTGGGGTGTGTCCCCTTGTCCCTGCTGGCTTCTGGTGGACCCAAAATGCTGGCTCAGCATCCCCACCATGTCATGCACCCAGAGGCCTCCTGTCTGCCACCACCTGACCACATTACCGTCACCTTGGGTGAGCAGCCCTCTGTGTACAGCCCAGCTGGGCTTCTACATGGCCCCAAAAAGCCACTGTCCCCTCCTGTAGGCTGATTCTGCCTGCACTGCACCCACACAGCTGGCCTTGGCCACTGCTGCCAGGTCTGCCTGTCCCTGCACCTAAGCTGCCTCACTGCACTCCTGTAGGAAAATCTAACGGGAACATCACAATCCACAAGTTTGTAGCAGGAAAGGCCGCACTGCTTTGCTGTGCTGATGACCCTTGTGCCTCCCTGCCATCACCATGGGGACATGAATGGCCACAGCAGCCCAAAGCCATGCTGCACAAGGGGCACCCACCAGCACAGCGGATCCCACAGGAGCCAGGCTGATGGAGAAGGGGCTGAGCAGCCCCCAAGGGCACAATGGACCAGGCTGACATACTCCAGCCTGCTGCAGGAGCTGGAGTTAATGGAACTCCTCTACTCCATTAATAATTAGCCACTAGAGGGAAGTACAAGGCTGTACAGGGAATGGTTTGGGCACACGGCAATGCGTCGCATGGGATCACGGGCAATTGCAGTTTGTGGTATGAGGCCTCACGGGCAGCAGCACCTGTACTAAAGGCCATTTTACTGCTTTTTGTTTGGAGTTGGCCCCTCAGCACTCACCACTGTCTTGCACCCAGTGCAGGTGCCCATGTGGCAATGGCAGGGATGGGCACAGGGTCTGTCTGGGCATACGAGTGGACTTGGCTGGAGCTGACTGCAGTGCCCTGGGATGGAGCCAGCAGCGCCCTTGGCACGGAGGCTGCGGACCCTGGCATGGAGGCTACAGTCCCTCTAGGGCGCACAGGCTCAGACAGCACCAGAATAGCCCAGAGCAGTGGGCCAGCCACACTGCTGGACAGCATACACAGCTCTTGCTGTTTTTAGCAAAGTGGGGAATGTGTGTTGTTTCTGGGACATGCCGTATCCAGGGCCAGAGGAAAGACAAGGGAGTGGCCTGGTGTCCCGGGGGGACAGTGAATCAGAGCACAGCAATGGACAGATCCCAGAGGAGGAGCCCCAGCTCTCTCCAGCCCCAGGCTGGAGAGGGGAACAGCCATTTTGGGAAGGGACAACCAGTGGGACAAAGGTTCCCACGGACTCTGCTCCACAGTGGTGCTGGCTTGACCCTGCTGGGGGAGGACAGTGGTGGGCAGCTGAGGGCTCCTGCCCCAGCCCCATGGCATGGATCCTGCAAACAGGGCCAGGTTGGCCTGGGCAGCCACCAACCTCCTGCCAAGGCAGCCATCCCAACCTCCTTGCGACCAAAGCAGCTTTCTACCCCTCAAACAACACCAGCAGGGATTGGGACTGCACTGATGGAGCACAGCTGATAATGAGCCTCCTGCTCTACTTTATTCCTGTTTATAGAGGGCTAAATATAACTTCGTGCTTATTTTTAATTCTTAGTGAAAGCTGTGAGCCACAATCCATCAAGTCAGTTTTGTGTTTTTCATATGGACTGGCTTGCATCAGATCCAAGTGAGAAAACACATCTAGGCCCAGCACAAGGTCTGTAGCCAAGTGAGGTTCGGGCAGTCCCACACCAGAGAGCTGGTGACCACAGGGCAAAGCAGAGAAGGTATTGCAGGACTTGTGGGCAGCGGCTTTCTCTGTGCCAAAACGCTCCCCGGTCCCCACCAGAGCTGCTGCCCCTGGGCAATGCCCACAGCTGTGGGCACTGCTGGGCCAGCCTACATTTGGTGGCAGGTATTGCTTGTCACCAGGCGGAGCCAAAGGCATTTTAAATGTTTTCCTATCACACAGTCAGAAAGCAGCTCCCTGGATTTTACAGTATTTCCCTCTGCAGCAGGAACAGGAGCCAGCATCAATCTGCAAACCAAGTGAATAACACAAAAAACCGCAAGCAAGTGTGCCAGGGCTTGTATCAGCTGGTTGTACCCCCTGAGATAAACTTCCACTCCTCTTCTGGGAGCCAGGGATAACATTTGGAAAGCTGTTTGATGGACCACTGAAAGGTTTATCACTGTGGTATTTCCACGGCAACTGAATTGAAAGACCATGAGGTAATTTCAGCACTACCTGTTAAACACGTCAGGTCCAATTCTCAAATCCTGGCAGCCTAACAAATACCCCAATCATACATTTTGGAGTTCAAGCTGAGAGCTGGCAGGGAAACTAGCCTTGTCTTGCTCACACCCAGGGCAGGGGCAGCTGAAAACCTCTTGCTCTACTGCAAAAACAGTTCCAATTTCAGTTCCGTGACCCTGCTCCTCCATCCATTGCTCGAGAGACTTCAACAGAAACATTGGCATCACACACACGCCAATGCACACATAGGTCTATAAAATCACATTTATAACAAAACAGATCCAACTAGATCACTTGTCATATTTTACTGGGGTTGCATGACAGATTGTTTTAAGTCTCAACATTGCATGGAAAAACCATCATCCGACAAAAAATAAAAATATTCTTCAAATGCTGGACTAAGGGCTTGACCAAAACAAGGCAGGCAGTATGCAGTTATCCTGTGGTTCCTCCCTTTGGCACCTTCTTCTCAGGCTTAAAAATTCACCCCTGCTGACTCCTAGCTCTATATATGAGAAATTATTTATATGCTCATGTATACATCCCTCCGGATAGCCAGGTCTTTAAAATAACTCAGCAATTCAGAATACTGCCCTGCTGACATTCACTTGGATGACTTTCCCCTCTCAACAAGGACACCAGCTCCCAATGCCCAGTTGCAACAACACACATCACACTAATTTTTCCTGGTCTGGTTTTGGGAGCCCAGGTTTGCTAAGGTCCCACCGAGCTAACCTTGAAGTGCCCTGGAGCAGCTGCAGAGGAAAGCCTCTGCTCACCGAGGTTCAACCTCCATTTTGGAAGGAGACAGGCACAGGGAAAAAGGGACCTTGTTTTCACCTAAAGCCAAAAAGCAAGATAGGTGGAAAGCCATCCACGGGGCTGAAATTACTCCAGTTATTTACAATAGCTCTGGCACATATCTGGCTGCCTTAAGAAGAAACCCTCCCCCAGTGCTGCCTTTCCCCTCAGGCAGCTTTGCCCTTCTTTGGTGTGGCAGCAGCCTCCAGGCAGGAATGGTTCTTGCAGTTAAAAAGAGAAGCCAGAGCTTGTCAAACAATAATACACTTACAAACACATTGAAAAATCCCATGTGAGTATATTACTGCAAGGCTGGAGACACACTTTCTCCATTAGCTGCTAACAACATTTCCAATCTGCAGAGAGCAACAGGCTGAGCTGGACAAGCCCAGCCCTGGTCAAGCAGGCGTTCCCTGTCACACAGGCTTTCCAGCAAACCACTGCTCTTCCAGTTCCTATCCAATTCCCAAATCTATCTTTTCCCTCTAAGGCTATCTTCACAAGCTATCCCAGTGGATTATACAAGTGGTCCAAAACTTAAGTGATGTCCAGGAAAAATTAATGGGAAAACCCAAGTTTTAGGTCAGCATGCGCAATGGCAAATGGAAAATGCAGTGTCTGAGCTGAGCTGACATCTCCCTGTGCCCTTAGGGATAGCGATGCGATAGCCAGACCTCATTCTCCAAAGAGACTGCAGCAAGCCAACTAGGACTCAAGGCAGCTGGTAAGAATGATTATTTTTTTCCTCTTACTAGGTTCAGGATTTTCTCTTCTTTTGGGTTAAATAAAACAGACAGACTTTCTGTTCGCAAGAAGTTTCCTTTCTTAGGGTTATTCTCAGAATAGCCGGGGAATATTTTAAACCAAGAATAGCTGATCTCCATTAGATTCATACTCCCCTTTTTGGAAACACTATTTAGAGAACAAAACTCCTAAATCAAAAAGTAGTCAGGAACAACAGTGAAAAACCAGATGGCTATAACAGCAAGTACTGCATGGGTACCTTTCAATTCACTTCTTTCCTCAAAGAGTCCAGTAAAGATTGGGTTTGCCTCAAATCTCCCCAAGTTGTATCAATTCCTCGCCAGAAACTTGCACTACCCAGATTTAAAGTCTGAGCCGCCTGGAGCAAATCACCACTGGAACATCAGCAAAATCTATGCTATGAGTAATAACAAAAAGAAAAAAGCTTGACAGTCAAAGCCCTGGTTAATACCCTTTGAGGAAAATGCTGTAGTGGGAAAACAGATGGATTTTTGGTTCTATTTTGCACAGAAAGGTGTGGATTTTTTGAATATACAATATTTATATAGTGTTATCTGAAATTTAAATTCTGAATCATGATCTGAATCATTATATAGCACTTAGGAATGGCATTGTTCTTATGGATGATACTCTGGTTTCTGCTGATAAATGAATAAGCTTCATATAATGTATATGAGCTTTTGATATAGCAGCTGCCAAGGGAATAACTGAAAGCCACCAAGAGTACTGAGTTCATCTATTCCTAGTCCAAAAGGTACCAGTGACATTCAAATACAGCAGATTATTTCATGTTACACTGCTGAGCATCAGATGGAAAACCAAAAAGAAATGGGTAAGACAGAGCAAAAAGATGTCACACCTAAACCAGAGTCCAAACTAAGAGCTCACAGACACAGCTTAAGACTTTCCCTTTTTAAGATATACTTATGCCAGAGAATTACTCGGCTTCTCAAACAAGCAAACCACCTGTGATTGAGTCAAACTGTAGCAAAAGAAGTAGTTCTATCTTTCTATCTGGAGCAAGCTGGCTGGACAGCTGCCAGAAAAGCTCCCTGTAGCCCTGCTTTGGGTTCCTCAAACCTGCACTGCTTGCGACTTTATATGAGAGGTTTATTTGGCACCAGCAGAAGACCTGGCACACTGCTAAAATTGTAATATTTGGGTTCTAGGAAGCTTACAAAAAAGCAGAACTAACCCCATCGCCCAAGAAACACAATTTTGAGGCAGATTTTTCTGGATCGCTACCATGTTTTAATGCAGTTAGATGTCCCCAGACAGCCTGTGCTGATTTTGGAAGGGTACATGAGCCAGCGAGGACCTGGAAAGGGGGGACAAGGGTCCCTCTGCTTAGTGCCAACCACTGGGGCATGGCAAAGGGGCTGTGTCATAGTGTGCCCAATATACACACCCTTGCTTGCCAACCCAAGCCACTTTCAGGATTTATAGACATCTGTTTCCCTGGTCCACCCCAGTTCATGGACAATCAGTACATCCTTTGCTGTGAAGGGGCATTTCGGTTCCCAAAGTGCAGGGACACAGGAACACTGCCTAAGGCTCAGGCTGTGGTTGCTGGACCCCACAGCACCCTCAGCCCCAAAACTGCCCCTGAGCCAGGGCACCAGCCCCATCACAGGGTGTTGTGTGGCTGCTGGATTGCTGGAGCCTGGCTGGGAGGGCAGGGGTTTGGGGGTATCCTGATTTTAGGCACTACCCACCAAAGTAATTAAACACAGCTTTGAAGTGTTCTTCAAAGCCCCCTCAAAATCCTGCAAAAAACTGAAATCACAGCAACCTCTTTGTTACTGTAGTATTTTAACCCCAGCTGGCAACTGAGCTCCACACAGCTGTTCACACCCTGTCCACAGCAGGATGGGGGAAAGAGAATTGCAATGGTAAAAGTCAGAACACTCATGGGTTGAGATAAGAACAGTGTAATAATTGAAATAAAATAGTAACAATAACAAGTTGTAATGAAAGAGAAAATAGCAGAGAGAGAGAAATAAAACTCAAAAAAGACAAGCATTGCAAATGAAAACAGTTGCTCACCACCGACCAACTGATGCCTGGACAGTCCCTGAGCAGCAGCCCCAGGCCAACCTCATCCATGGTTTACAGCTGAGCATATGAAGATGCCATAAGGTATGGTATGGTATGGAATATCCCTAAGGTCAGTTGGGGTCAGCTGTCCCAGCTGTGTCCCCTGCCAACTCTTTGTGCACCCCCAGACTTCTTGCTGGTGGGGTGGGTGAGGAGCAGAAAAAGCCTTGACGCTGTGCAAGTGCTACTCAGCAATAACAAAAACATCCCTGTTATCAACCCTGTGTTCAGCACAAATCCAAAACACAGCCCATACTAGCTACTACAAAGAAAATTAACTCTACCCCAGCTAAACCCAGCACATTTCTTAAGCTTTCTTTGAAGCAATTACACGAGAGCTAATAAGACATTATTTAAAATATGACATTTAAATAGCTTGCCTAGGAAAAATCAACCCTGCAAAGGAATTGCTCCAAGATATTATTTTTCTTGGAAATTACAGAGCTAAGGAACTCTAATGGCCATGGTATTCTTCACTTTCCATTGCCTATTATGCCACTTACAATGCTCCTAACAGGATACCTTTATTGTTCCAAAAGGAACTGGGGAGCAGTTTCACGCAACAGTGATCATTTTAAAATATCTGTGTCCTAACTGAACTGGCCTGACTCAAAGCCCACCAAGGTCCCGCTGATTTCTGGGAGTCAGGCTGGCTGTAGGGTGTCACCATCAACCTGGTTTTGGGCAGCCACACTAATTGCTCTGACCAGCAAAGCAACTAGATTAAAGAGAAATACAACACTACAGTGTCTAAATACTACACACATTGTCTTGCACTAATCAAAATACGTAATTCGGGTGGAAAACAAACCAGAATCACAATTTCATATGGTGGCTCAGAGGAGCTAGAAAGCCTGGCTTCTGTTCACATTAGGTAGAGCCAGGTCAGCAGGCTGTACACGCAGTGACAAACCACCTGCCTGGATTCAAGGCTTTAGAGGGTTTGAGACAGGCTCTGCCAGACCTTCCATCATCTGCTTGCTCACCGAGGCCAACCTTACCCCAGTTTATAGCAGGAGTCAGGGTGTATCGTGGCTAATTGAGCAGAGATCAGCCATAGATAACTCTGGCATCTGCTGTGCTCAGTCCTGAAACATCTGTGCCTGTGCAAAGAGCCTGTGAGTGCTGGAGGAGTAACTACTGTTTGCTCCTCTCCACACTCCTCTCCACAGTGTGGCCCATCCCAGCTTGGCTTATGGAGCTCACACCAGCACCACGCTGGATGCAGAGGGGCCCTTCGGGCGAACAGAACTGCTTTTCTTCAGATGTGCTGACTCAAACTTTAGACTTCTGTGCCTCTGTGTTATTCAGGAGGGAGGTTTTGTTCACTTTTTTCCCCCCTATTAATCTCTAAAGTTAACAAAGTGACTCTCTGCATCAGGAACCAACAATGAAGGGCCCAGCAGGCATCCTGCTGTGCTCATTGCTGCTGATGGCCCCCTATTGCACAGAGGTGGCTGCCCAGGATGACCAGCCTGACCCCAAAATGCCATGTGCCAAGTGGATGGGAGGAGCACCTGGCTACCCTGGCCACAACGGGCTCCCTGGTCGGGATGGGAAAGATGGAAAAGACGGACTAAAGGGAGAAAAAGGAGATGCAGGTTGGTGAGAAACAGGTAGTACGTTGGTGCTGGAGTCCATGGGCAGCCCCAGTCCCAACAGGTTTTATGTCTGGTGGGTCAATGCCTGACTGTTGTCCAGATGACTTTTGAGTATCTCCTGGGATGGAGATTCCATAACCCAAGTCAAAGAGTTTGGTGTGGTGGCTGTTTCCCCAGTTAGTGATGTTTTTTTCAGATGCTGCTCTCAGCAGCTCTGCATATAGCCGGGGGAGAGGAGGGGGAGGAGGGGGAGGAGTAGTGAGCAGGCTTTCCACTCACTGACTCCACTCCTGGGGGCTGTTGAGGTCATTGAGCCTTTCCTCAGCTCTGTGCTGCAGAGCAGATCCTCATGCCACAGCCCCCTCTGCATTTTGGGACGGTGGGTAGCAGCCACCAACACTGCAAACACAACTCCCAATCCCCACTCTGTCCCCCAGGTGCAGCAGGTCCTATAGGCGCGCCAGGCGCGACAGGACCCCCAGGGATGACGGGACCTCCTGGAGCTCCTGGATTCACGGGACTGAAGGGGGAGAAGGGTGAAGGTGCTTTTGTTCACCGCTCTGCCTTCAGCGTAGGGCTGACGGAGCGACCCCCTGCCCCCAACATCCCCATCCGCTTCAGCAAGATCTTCTACAACGAGCAGGGCCACTACGACGTCAGCACTGGCAAGTTCCTCTGCAATGTCCCCGGCACCTACTACTTCGCCTACCACCTCACGGTCTACCTGGCAGATGTCAAGGTCAGCCTCTACAAGAAGGGCAAGGCCGTGATCTTCACCTATGACCAGTTCCAGAACAACAATGTTGACCAAGCAAGTGGCTCTGTCTTGCTGCACCTCAGCTCTGGGGATGAGGTCTGGCTTCAGGTGTATGGGAATGGGAACAACAACGGCGTCTACGCTGACAACGTCAACGATTCTACTTTCATGGGCTTCCTCCTGTACCCCGACATGGATGACTATTAATGTAAGGGGTGCTGCACAAAAAAGGGTGAAGCGGCTTAATCCCGGACAGAGTTCTGGGGCACTGGCACTATAGCTATAATGTATCTACCATAAAATAGTCTTTTGAAGGAGCAACGATTGCCAAGGGTGGACCCTGTCTCCTATGAGTACTTCCATGGGACCAAGGGCTCACTCCTACCTCTGCTCTTGTTCTCCTTGTGGAAAGCTCAGCCCAAAGTCAGACGCCTCTCCTGCCATATAATGAAAAAGTAACTCTCAATATGCCTTAATCTTTTTCTAAATTTAAAGTGAAAAGAGAAAAGTTGATTAAATATGACATTTTAAATTTCCCTTTTTTTAACCACTTAAATCCATCTAAAGCAATGGGGAATATTTTAGCCAGCATTTTAAAATTTGAGTAGAAGAGGGAGAAAACTATTCACAAAATCAGAGTGCTCTTGTTTTCATCTGGAACATATGGCTCCATTTTTTCCATTGTAACTCCCTGTATTATTAGGCCCTTTGACTTCCACCCATGGTTTGTTGTCTCCCTTCTTTAGCCTAGATCTTTGAATGTATACAGATTATTAACTTCCATTGATTTTAATCCTTTGATTTTCCTTTTATGTTTACCCCTGTCATTATCTCTAATGCAGATAGCAGGCTGGTTTAGGGCAGGAATCTTGTGATTTATCTGAAAAGCCTTATGAACACAGTGAGGCCACACAGAAGCGGCCCATTGACCACATGGCTTTGGGGTCCCAAGGCGATCACAGATATGTTGGCCACGCAGATCCTGTCCCACCTACCTTCTGAATAGCTCCCAAGTGCACTCAGAAGTTGAGATCGATAACTGTGTTTCTACTTTTCCATGCTCTAAGTGTGCCATAACCAATGGTTTGCTCTGCACAGAGCTTCAGGTGGTGCTTGAAGCCTCCCAGGTGGAGTGGGCTCCTGGGATGAAACCCCAGGACCTGCCCCAGCTCTGGGCAAGCTTACTTTAACAGCAGAGGACTATTAACGCTGGAATTAGTAGCAATCCCATCAAACTGCTCTCCTAGGAGCTTGCCTGACTTTCAGCTAAAAGAGGATTTGATGGTTTCTCAGATACATTCAAAGCAGACTCCTACTACTAAGCTTCAGAACAAGCTAACACCAGTCAGAGGTAATGCATTGTTACAAGCACAAAACAGCATTAAGAGCTTCAACTGAAATTATTTCCCACAGCAGCATTTTCCACACTCCAGTGAATTACCACACTGCAAATAAAAAATAAAAATTTTTCTAAATGACAATGTTCCCACATTTTTGTGTGTGTCATTGGGAAGGACTTGAAGAAAGGGATACACTCCTGGCCTCACCAGGCAGCCCAGGAAAATATTTTTTTTTTTTTCCAGCAAGGTGAGGGCACCCTGGGCTGGCACACACAGGGACACTCCCCCTTTTTCTTTCCCAAGAAACGCTCCACACTCTAAATTTCATCAAGGCTTCGGCATCTCACCACCTTACACTGTATTGTCTCCTTTTTGGATAAGATGAGCTCTGTTTTACGGACTGTTTCCCCAAACCCAATGTGCCTGAATCCACCTTGAGTGGTCATCCAGAGCAAGGGCCTCAGCTGGCCCCAGAAGCTTCAAGTACATTAGATTTAGCAAGGGTGAAACTGTTGCTCAGTGTGGTCATGCTGAATTCAGAGAGCTGGAAAAAACCCTGCTCCTATTGTGGGAATTAATGGGAAGGGAACAAGGCAAAGGGAAAAAAAAAAAAACAAAAATACTAATCCATAAACAAAAGGAGATTTAAAAATGCGGCATTTGCTGGATCAAATGGCATAAGAGGCCACTGAAAGGAGCACATCAGAGCTTTTACACTATTTTCAAACATTTTCAGATGGATCTTCAGAAAGCAGGGAAAATAGCCAGAGTGCTAAGAGACATTTGGGATAAACACTAGGAGGCAATCCTAGTTTAAAGACTACTTCCCGAGGAGGAGCCAAAACAAATTACTCCTTTCTTTGCCGCCATGCAGTGGGAGCAAACATACTTACAGCTTTATCCTGTATGCCAGAACTCAGAGGTTGAGACCTTGGGAGAAGTTTTAAAGAAAGCCATTAAGGCATCACTGTTCCGTGTACTGACTGCTCCCCTTCTCACAAACGCACATGCTGAACTGCAGCTTCACCAGGACACTCACTCCAGGGTGTGAGTGCCAAAGCCATCTTCCTCCCAGCTCCAACAGGGATGCTCCTTCGTTGCTCATGCATATCCCACCCAGGCACCTCAAAACACAGCTGGAGCAGCCCAGGCAGCAGGCTGTGAATGAGACAGGCCCCAGCTACATGGAAACAGGGGTCAAAGCCCTCCCTTTTGGGTTTGGAACTGGTTTATGAAGTCTTTTACCTCAAATCTCTGTAAGATTCTTGCTCAGATGAGACACACGCCTTCCTAGCAAGCACCAAATCTCAGTTTAAGTCTCCACCCACCCAGAAAACTACTTTGCATCTCAGGAGCAGCAATCAGCTCCCTCCCAGCTCCCCTCTAAGGGAAATGCTCCCAGCAGAGGTTCAGCCCATCAGCCAAGCAAGCACAGTCATGGGGCAGGGCATGGAGAGAAGGACCTCCTTCTCAGCAAACACATCTCTGCCCCTCTGCAGCCAGGGTCAAGGCCTGAAGCTGCCCTTAGCACCACTGTTTCCTGCCTCCTGAGGCTGCTCAACCCCTGCAGGGCTCTGCATGGGGGTCTCAACCAGTCAAAACATGCTGGCAAGCTTCAGGAGCAGCACCTGAACGTGGCCAGCAATTACCCCACCAGGCTGCAGGACCCTGGGCAGCCCTTCAAGGCCAGGAGCTGCCACATTCCTGCATGTGGGATGGCTATCAAACCTCCACTTCCCCAGCTCTGCTATGTCAGGGGCACACAGCCAGGCTGACTGTGGGCAGGGAGCTGTAGGCCATCACACTGGCTTTGTGCTGCTTTTAGGGGAGAGCTGCAAATAGGGTTTGGGAGGGTAATGAGGTCCTGGGGGTGAGCTCAGAGGAGTTCCTAATGAATCCAGCCTTTTTCCATTACAGAGTTGGAGTGGTTTTCCTCTCCCTCCATGTTTCATAAACCCGTAGGAGAGGAAAACCTGGCCAGCACAGGCACATCTCCAAGGCCTGGGCTTGGCTCCCAAGGATCACACAATTGTTTAAACACACAATTATCTTGTAACAAAAGAGCCAAGAATGACACTGACATGCTGAGAGGGCACAGAATCACCTGCTCTCCAACAAACTAAAACATTTAAGTTTGTGTTTTCTTAATCAATCCTGACAGTAGATGCCTAGTACAAAGTTACATCATACTATTTACTGCCTCTCTAACTGTGGCAGGTTTAAATGGATGTTTTTCCCTTTAGAAGCGAATGTATTCTTAGAGGCAGAAAGCAAGAACACTCCCCAATGAAAGATTTAAGTCACTGCACTAACACTTAGGGAGAAATAACATGGAAAGCTGAAGGCAGCTGGAGAGACTGGCCAATCTCATCTAGCAGGGAAACCATCTGTAAAAGCATCCATAGCCCTTTCAAACACAATTATAGGCTGGTCCTAATTGCGCCTCAACTCTATGTAATCACTTGTGCCAGTAATTAATTGGAATACAAATAGCAGCTGCACTAAACCATGAAGAGCTACAAGAAAAAGATAAATTGCTTGCAAGAGTTGTATTTGTGAAGCATAAACTCACTAGAACCTTTTTGTCATGGAAGCAGGCAGAGGGATTAGGATAAAGTCCTACATTTAGCTAATCAGCCATTATACTTCCATGCAGGAAATGCCATCAGATTTAAAGCCTACCCTTTGAAATACTCTGGAGGGAAGCAATCATGAGCATCCCCAGGCTGCCATGTTTCTCTGATATTTGTACTAGGTGATTTACAGTCCCATGTCACTGAGTTTCTTCATCAAACCCACCCTCAACTCGTCGTTAGACACATCCCAGGAGACCAGCCCAGCATAACACCACTGCTCTTTGAGAACAGTGGCCTTTCATGCAGGTGCAGTTCGTTACTCTCCAGTCCAAGGGGAAGGAAAGGTTTATACCCAATGAAACGGAAGCATTAAATATCAACATCCATTTCTTCCTGCGTGGATTCCCACCCTCAAGGCAATCTGTGGGACCTCTCCCATAAAGCAGGACAGGTTTATGGAGCGGCATCAGGGAAGGAGGCAGGGAGGAGATCCCACTTGAAGCCCCTCTCTAAATCCCCTCCAGAGTTAGGCAGGGAAGGTCAGGGGGTATGAACGAAGATTATGTAAGACTTTTTTCATAAGTAAGAAAGCAGCACTCACCAAAAATGTCCTGTTTGTGAATTTTAAAACCTTTAAGAGACACGGCTCCTCTCTCCCTCTGGTCTGAACTCCCTGTAGTAGCTCAAGAAAAAGGTTATTATTTGGGTCATGATTGTCATCCTGCTCTTGGCAAAGAACAGCTGGAGCAAATATAAAAGGTAAACTAAAAAAAATAAATAAACCCGAAAGTAAAAGCATAGAAGCCAATGCTTGTGCTCAAAGTCCCCCCTGCTGCCAAGGACTGAGTTGCATTGTGCTAGTGCTTTTCGAAAATATCTCTGATGTGACACTGGCATTCCAGCCCCATCACTAACAGGGACTTCAGAGAACAGGGCTGCACTGTCATCTGCCCAGCATGTTCTCATGTGCTGAACAACTGCACATTGAGAGCAGGAAGATGCCTGCCAGCTTCCCAACACCCTGGGGAAGCAGGAAGGACTCCATTTATTCATCTAAATCAATTCCTTCTTTATCAAGAAAAATACCTTCCACTCCAATTATTGAAATAAAATATTAAAAGGAAAACTTTTAATTCCCTGGAAGTAAATGAAGCAGAAAACCACCAAGGAAAACCCACTACTGCCATATTAGGTCTGAGCTTGCCTGTTCCTCCTCACATTAGGAGCAGTAGCAGTTGGCTCTATAACCTGAAAGCCAAATCAGAAGAGGCACTGCAGAAATATTACGCACAGATGACAACCGGTTTCCTTTAGCATGGCAACTTCCTCTCCCTCACAATGACTGGATTATTTTCAGCTCAAATCAGATCACAATTCTTATTTCCAAGGACTATACTGGGACAGTTTGCAGTTCCCTGCAAACAGAGCCTTAACCTGGTGAGAGCATTGAAGGGAACAGGCTGACATTTAAGTGTTTTGAAGCTATTCCTTTTCATCTGTGCTGCATCGCTGGCTACACCCCTTCTAAGGCCTTTCAGCACTTGGGCCTGCCAAGTCTCAGGCGGAAGCTCAGCTTTACAGATTGCCAGCTGTCCCACTGGTCACTGGGACAGTTCATAAATCTATTCAGATTGGAACCTTTATCTGGATATTGAAATACCGAGCTGGACCCAGCAGCTTATAAAGTAACACACATCAGTCTAAATGGGTGCAGACTGCTGCTGGAAGAGGCTTGTTTCCTCAGAAACACCTGTTACAAGAGGTGTCAATCTCCACAGAAGATACAGGAATCAAAGCTCGATAAATTAATTGGCCAAGGCAGTCAAATGCCCTTAACATAAATTTTTATTAGAGATTTTGACATCTTGTGATTATTTCCTGACAACAGGCTGATTGCCCACAGACTAATTAGACCAAAAGCCTTGACAAAAGATAACACAGAAACAACGTGAAGCTGAAGGGCATTTTGTTCTCATATAATACCGTCCCAGACCCAAACAAATGACAGTTCCTGATGAAAGTTTCACACACTGACAGTTCTCTTTAGAGAGATGAAGCTAAACACACCCCCTCACTTAGTCTCACTGCGGATGAGAACTTCATACTCCAGACAGCTACAACATACATACCTTCAATACCATCCCATCCCAACCCTGAAGAATGTTCCTTTCATAGTACTGCCAGCATACTATTTATGCTGCTTTTTAACATGGAACAGAGTTTCTGGAAGCTAACAGAAACAAAAAGCTGTGTTAGCTATACCTACCTTGAATGGAGAGCTGTATCCTACCAGGATGGAAACTCTGGCTGGTCCCATGAGCATTATTTGCCCTCTATCCAGTTCTGTAAAGGTTCCGTGTTTTGATCAAGTGAGATGACATTTCAAAACTAGAACTACTCACCATGAGCACCTTCAAACCCATGTTCACTAAGGTTTTGGACATGTCTAAAAAGAGAACACCACCCATACTGAAGAGCAACTGTTCAACATGAGTTCGTATGACAGAATATACTCCTCTTGCTGGGACCAAACACAGGGCTCAAGTTTCTTACAACTTAAGGAAAGCAAATGAAAAACCAAAAAGTATGTAAAAACATGGACAAGGAAATATTCTAAAAACAAGATGACCATCTTAAGGAATCAGGAAAAGTAGCTAAAGAGCAGAGTTGCTTCTTAGATCTTATGTCATAATTTGCTCCTGCCTAGAACGCAGCCTCTATTTACAGGCACCAACTTTCAAAACCTGGCTTGGAGAAAGCACAGCACCAAAGCTAGAGACGACAGCCCAGACACGCTTGCCACCTCTCAAACTGTTTTACCTTGGTTTCAATGAGAAAAGCTGGAAATGCCAAGCTCTAAGCAAAGCAAGCACTAAAAGGGAAACTGCCTGAATGAGGCTGTTCCTTCAGGGACACATGGCAGCATCAGACACCAAGCAGAGTGTCAGAAATGCTGATTTAATGTTCACTGCATGATGAAACACAGGCTGCTCAGAAATCAACAGGAGCACAATAAAAAGACATCTAAATCCTACTAGGTTTATCGTGCTTACGTTTTTAAGCTTAGTGGTCAGCATAGACACTGTAAAATTTAAGATTTCATTTTTTAAGGCAAAGCAAAGAAAAAAATGTGAAAGAAGTAGGAGAGGAGAGAGCTTCAGTTCAGGTGAAATTTAATCAGTGCCAGGTGTTCACAGAAAGATCAATCACAGTATCATTTTTGTGATCAATTTATGGAATACACATTGCATTTGAGATTAGACAGGATACACTCTTGACTCGGAAATAATGTGCTAAAAACTCACCTGTTCCTTTAATTCTGAGATTCCCTTTGGTCACTGAAGGGTGAAAATAAAACATTTCTAAAAACATTCTGAAAACTTGGGTCAAAATCTGAACTAATATGTCAACAGCTTAATTCATATACACTTACCTCTGAGTACAAACGACTGCACTACCTGCTGCAGGAGAAAAGAATCCTAAATTATTTTCTTTCTATAAAGTACAATTTCAGGAATTAAATTATATTTTTAAATCCAAGCATTCCCATGGTCCAGGGTCAGAACACTTCTCTGCTTAAAATATCAAGGTGAAATTACTTTTGGTTTCTGTGCTTCCTAAATTAAAAGTGAAGTACTGATGTCTTGAAACAGAAGACCACTTACACTGCTCTTAGTGTGACCGACCCCAAATCCCAAATCTTCGTTCGCGAAGCCTAGCCATGAGTGTGACCAACAAATGAACTGGACTATTCAGAACAAGCAACCATCTTATCCCAAGATAATCCTTTATTGTGGGACAAACAAAGCTTTCCTAGGCAGCAATGCGCCCTGCCACATATCTTTTATATAATATCCAAAAGTAACAGTGAATTATTTAAAAAATAAAATTAAAAAATCATTCTCTAAGGGAGCTCAGAACACAGCAATATCTACTTTAAAAGTATAACCCAGAGTGGAGAGGTTTTTTTAGTATTTTATTCAATAAGCACATCAGCAAATAAAATTTCCACAGAAATCTACGCACAGCTTCCTAGAAATAACATTCCACAGTTCCCTCCTTAGTTATCTTTAACCATCTGGTTTTCATATTCCCCGAGCAGCTTATACAGGTTTCCCCCCCCGGCTTGTGATTTTCCCATTTCGATTACTTTAATAAATAATGGACACCACAGGTGATCCTAGAGAAAAATCCACATCTCAGCACTGCATAGCTGGACAACCAAGTTCACTGGATGTCATCATCATCGAAGAGATCTTCAAAATCTAGTTAGAAAAATAAGACAAGGTAAAATTACCCTTAAAAGTTTCAACTGTTAGAAATGCACATACTCAAGTAGAGTACTTCGTTATTAAAAACAGAAATAAAGATGAATTAAGTGAATGAGAGTTACTGCACCATCTATTACTGGAAATGTAATCAGGGTGGAAAGAGACAGCAAAGGTAGGCAAACCCATGGACATGTTCTCTGTCACGCACAGTTAAACTGCCCCACTTGTACAATACAAGCTGTGCAATCAAACTCATGAAAGCTAAGCTTAAAAGAAGGGGCTTTAATAACGGCATTAAGTAGCCATCACAGAGAGGATCAAGCAAGATTCCCTGAGCCCAGAACAAAGCAAGTGCTAGCTTTATGCATGCAGCAAGTCTCAGATGTAAACACTCCTGCAGAATCGTGGCTTTAGGTCACAGCATCCAGGCACACCTCTAAATGCTGCAGACTGACATTCTCAAGTGGGATTTGCTGTTAAAAGTCCCTTCCTTAAAAACATTTCATTGCTTTGAAGGTGCTAATAACATTTCTCTCTCTGAACTCATTTCAGACTAGTGAAATGTGGCTGGCTACATTTCATCTTTGGAAAGTGCTCTTAACTACTCAGCTTTGTATCTTCTTTGTATATTGAGCATAAACTAACAACATAACTGAATACAAGCCCTTATTCTTACAGAAGGCAGTCTACGTGCCATACAATAAACAGAGGATTAATCCTCATTTAGAAGAGTCCTAAAATACCAATGGAATATAATACCATGATGGTAGAACTTTACGGAAATATCTGCTCCTGAATATGCTGGCTCCAACACAGAGCTAGCTCCTTCACCACTCCTGAGAGTATAACTGAAAATTCCTTTTTCTCCTGCATTCTAAATGTTGAGAACCACGAGAAACCTACTTTATTTTGGAATTAATACCAGTTTGTGATATTAACACCACTACAGCAACCAGATTTAATAATGTATCTGAAACTCCCTGTTGGAATGTCTACACATACTTCTTGAGAAGAAGCATAGAAAAACCCTTAGTAATCAAGTGCAGTGTTCTATATTCTACCACTAAGTGGCCTGATATGCAGCTCTTTCCTCTCAAAGCAGCTGTCTATACTTATATCTAGGCTGAGAGAATTGGAATTGTTCAGCCTGGAGAAGAGAAGGCTTTGGGGTGACCTAATTGGACCCTTCCAGTACCTGAAGGGAGCTTATGGCAAAGAAGCAGAGAGACTATTTACAAGGGCTTGGAATGACAGGACAAGGGGGAATGGCTTCAAACTGACAGAGAGTAGATTCAGATTGGATATTAGGGGAAAATTCTCCACTGTGAGGGTGGTGAGGCCCCGGCATAGGTTGCCCAGAGAAGCTGTGGCTGCCCCATCCCTGGAGGCGTTCAAGGCAAGGTTGGACGGAGCTCTGAGCAACCTGGGATAGCAGAAGGGGGGATGGAACTTGATGATCTTTAAGGTTCTTTCCAACCCAAACCATCTTATAATTCTATATGCATACAGCTCACTTTCAAATGCAGAAACTGCATTAAAAACAGTGGTTTATTTTCCTTCGGACACATATGCACACATACTTTAAGAGATTAATGAACTACCTATGTAATGCCCAGACACAATTTTTTGAAGTCCATTCCACGTTTTTGTATCTATTTGCACAGGTTAATATAAGTTACTTGTTACGCAAACAGATAAAGGTACTTTTCCTTGAGGTGATCAATACCAAAACTTCCACGAGAGGAAAACCACGCATTTTACCGCTCCCGCCTGCATTATTTAACACTGAAGCGCTCTTACACCGCTCACCAGAGATGTAGTTAGTGAGTTTAGCGGCCACCAGGCACCAAAGATATGAGATCAGCGAGAAGCGAGGTTTGCTGCGACACTCCTCAACCCCCCCGCCCAGCCGGCGGCGGTCCTTACCATTGAAGAAGTCGGCGTGCACAGCTTTCTCGTTGGCGGCCAGGTCCATCAGCAGCCCCGTGCTTCCCCCTGCCTGGGAAAGCAGCCGCTGAGCGCCCCCGCGCCACGGCGGCACGGCGACGGCTCCCCCTGCTCACCCCTCACCTCGTCCAGATCCACGTACGGCCCGGCTCCCTCGGGAAACATCTCGTCCACCGCCGGCTTCATGGCGGCCCCTCTGCGCCGTCACTTCCGCGGGCAAGGAGGAACCGCCTCTCATGGCCGCCCTGTGGGCGGGGGCGCCGCCGTTGCCATGGCGAGGAGGGAAATGGCGGCCGCCATTCTGCTCACCCCGCCCTCCCCCTGTGGCGGGCCAAGGCTTGAGGTGAGGCACTGCCCTGCAGAGGGTGCAGCTGTGGTTTAAACTGGTGGTCCTTGCAGCCCCCAGAATGGGCGGACTGGCCAGATAATTCCTGTACATACACGACTCCTGTACTCTCAGAGAGTGGTTTCCTGAGTCAACGCTGTGAGCATCATGGGTAAAAAAAGCTCCCAAAACTGTGCAGCAGAATGGAGGAGTTTATTGTTTTCACGCGAAAGGATAAATTGTAAAAAATTCAAAGCATGAAACGCTGAGTGCAACTGCAGTGAGTATCACTAAGTGGCTGAGGCCAGCCCAGCTGCATTTATTGGCACCTTTAAGTTGCACAAAAGAGACTAATTTAAAGCATGAAATTCTGTGCATGGCTGTGGTATCACAAAGTGGCTGAGGGCAGCCCAGGTGCGTTCACTGGCAGGTATTTGCTCTAACACCTTGGCACCCATAAATTGTAAAAAGGAAACTAATTTGAAGCATGAAATGCCATGTGTGACTGCAGTGAGTATCACGAGGTGGCTGAGGGCAGCCTAGGTATGTTTGCTGTCAGACAGGTATTCACCCAAACACCTCAGCACTGGCTCTAGCAAAGCTGAGTGAGGCACTTAGCGCTCGTGGTCAGGCACGTGGTAGCCAAGGTGGCTCCCAAAAGGGAACTGGGCAAAAAAAGCTCTGGCCATTTCATTGATCCTGTTGTAGGCTCCCAAGGTCCGGAAATATTCCACGTAGGACCAGAAATCGTTGGATGAGAAAGGCCAGTATGGCAAGGCTACAGCTTCCTGGTACAGATCTTAAAAAAAAAACAACCAAAATAAAATGTTGCAGATTACTGTAATACAAAGCATTTTTGTTGAAAGCTTGGTCCTGGGAGCCAATATGGTTTGGGGTTCTGGGTTCCCTAATGGGGCTTATGGGCTCCTCTGGCAGGAGAGAGGCAGGGAGAGCCTTTGACCCCTCTCCATCCCTCACTCTGTAGAAGATGAAGCCAGTATTCCCTGCTCCTGATGCATTAGTGTGACAGAGTGGGACAAGATGGAGAGGAGGAATGAAGGCACACCATCCACATCTAGGGCAATTCAAGAATTCATCAGGCTGATTTAATTGCTAGAAGGCTGCTGTTTATTTAAAGGCAAAGAGTGGTTGCAATTGAAAGCCATTTTTTCTCATTCCACACAATTTGCTTTGCCCAATATAAAAATATAAGGAATAAGGCACCATCATCTATACTCTGACCCTGCAGCTGCCCGCTCTGCCCACAGAGCTCCCCAGGACTGAGGCCATACTTCCCTGACATTGCCTGGGACTGCAGTTGTCCTCTTCTCAGAGGGCTGTAGGAAACAGGCTAAGGGAAGGGAAAGGAAAAGTTTTGCTGCCTGGAAGACAGCTGTTGTATTTGTGCCTGCTCTAGGAATATCAGAAAAAGTGGTATACTCATTGAAACGGTTTCAAATTCAGCAGGAAAACAAAGTCAGTTCTGAAAATGCAGAAGCTGACCACCCTTGGGCCCAAATCTGGGCAAACACAGAAGCATATATAACATATAAACACTAGCTGAGACCACATAGTTACAAATGTCTTTCTGTGCAGCAAAGCTAAATCTAGTATTTTGTTTTGATTTAAAGCCTATTTAAATGAATGGGAGCCATTCCACTCAGCTTGGGACCAGGGTCTTTAGTAGGAATTAAGAGCCTTCAACAATCCTGTTGTCAGAGCTTAATTTTATGGAGTAAAGTTTGCAGTACACAGGCCCAGATGGCACATAACCAAACAAATGAACCAGTGAAATGCTATCTGCAGAGGAGAACTCACTGTTAATACCAGCTGACCTTAGATTCACTTTGCAGGCTACTGCTTGGCCTAGTGTGAAAGAAAACCATAATTGCTGGTAATGAGAGCAACAGAACACTGCCTGAAGAGGGTTGTATTTTCACATTGACACACGTTCCTCTGACCGTCTCAGAAGGTTGCTGCAGAAGTATTTGCCGTGCACAAACGCAGGTGATACATTCAAAATATTTTAGAGCTATGAAGAAATAGATTGGGGCATAGGGGGACAGGTTTGAATTATAACTTAATATTAGACCTTATTCTGTATTTCTACAGTTCATATCTGTTATGATACTCTGCATATTTGTATCTGTGCACTGGACATGCTGCTGGCTGTCCTGCTGGTTAACTTAGATGTACACCAGCAATAGCAGTACCTGATTACTGTAGATACTTCTTTGCAATTTTGTTTCCAGACAGAATTCTGTCTGAAAAGCCAAAGAGAGGTTAACTGATAGAATCATCAGCAAGCCAGTGTAAACATCATTAGGGTGTTGAGGGTTTTTTATTTAATCAAAGGCAAACACTAATCCAATGGACTAATCACATGAAGCAACATGAACCACAGGGTAGCTTTGCTAAGGGATTTAGTCCAACATTTCTGTAATTGGATTTGTGGCAATTTGTAAATTTTAAGCTTTATGTTGTGGAGGCCAGTATCTCTTGCCAATAACCAGATGCACATATAATATTACTGTTCAGGACAGACAAAATCCTCAGATGTCTGATACACTTACAAGTCTGGTGCTTTCCAGTTATGATTTTGTACAACAGAATTAGTGACTTGACCATAGTCCCTTTTCATTTTAAGACTTTAAGTATATTAGCTCTATTATTAGACACTAATATTTCAGCTTTTAATAAATTTTAAAGACATTTCTAAAAGTTCACTCTTCTTTCTCCACCAGAACTAGATGAAAGCGCTTCCACAGCCCATTGAGGTTAGTGAGCATTCCTGCCAAAGTCACTGCTAGGCATCAGGTCTGGGAGTTACAAATTACTCTCCTAATTATTAGTGATACAAAGCAAATAAAAATACATTAGGAATTACCATCTCCATCCTGGATGGATCGGGCATCTGTGAATAAAGAGGAAACGCATTAGTACCAGCTCGTGCACAGAAAGACTTTCTGTTAATAAAAGGTTTCCCGTGTAGCCAGAAGATGACAGGGGTTAGGGTTAATGCCCATGTAGGACCCTCTGCTTAGCCAAAGGATTTTTGTTTCTTGAACAGTAGAATAAGAAATTCCCCATTTGCAGTCATTCAGTGCTACAAACCAAATACTTATAAGTAACAGCCAGAATAGTTATGATTAATACACAAGTGATACTAAATAGAGGATATGGTATTCATAACAAAATATTTCTGGCTACTTGAAAACATAAACAAGGATAAATTCAGCAGTAATCTTACCTGTTAGCATGTTCATCAGCATGCAGAAGAAAAATAAGCCAGTAAATGTCATCGTTTCTGCAAGATAATGCTCGTGTTTCTGAAAAGTAATCTGTAGAATTGAGGATTATTGCAATACATTAATAATCATGCAAAGTCTATTATTTCTTCTTTTAATAGAAGAATACATTCCAAAATAAAGTCTAATTATCAATTCAGGCATAACAAGATCCAATTACATTTCCTTACAGCTTCTGAACTGCAACACAGAGTATTAAAAGACCGGCAATCCTGAAGCATGTACTAATATTTTGCCTTAAGATGGCATAAATCCAAAAGGCTCCTCTGAACTGACATGAAATTAAGTGTCTTTAGAAATATTTTATTTTGTGGCTAATTTACTTTCACTTTAGATATTACCTTTCTCTTCTTTTCTTCTTCTTGCAGTAGTAAAGATATGGAGCTCTGTGTCAGCTAGGAAACTCCAAAAGGATTTCTACTGCTGTAAAATAGCAGTGCTCAGTAAGGAAGGGTAGGGGGAAAACGTCACTGATTTTCTGCACCAATCTGGTTTTGTTGCCTTCAGGTATTTTAACTGCTCACATTTGCATTATATTTCAGCACTGTCCATGGAAGAGACAGTGGACAGTTTCTGCAAGGAAATCAGAATCAACTTTGGCAATAACACTTTTGTTTTTTGAAGGCAGACGGAGAAAATCCAGAGGCAAATTCACTGCTACCATTGCTGCCCCCTGGATTTTCTTTCTCTATAAAAATAGATTTTCAAAAACCTTATTTGAGCAAATTACTAAAAGGATATGGAATTCCCTCTCCAGCTGAGTCACAAACCCCACAAATGCTTGACACTGCTTTATGTTCTTACTTGGAATCCTTAAAACCTGGACCTTAAAGTGTACACGGCCACCAAGTGCCCACTAAAATCCATTGGGTTATGCTAAGTAAAGCAGGAGGTCCCCAGTGACCTCAGTCATGCTGGTGGTGCAGGTGCTTTCAGAGGGTCATTAAGTGCATTGAAATGCATTTTCACATTAAACTGAATTCCTGGAAAGATTCCTCTGCCAACACCAAGTAGTGCTTTGGGCTCCAGCCTATGCAGGTTGCTGAATGGATCCAGTGCTTTCAGAAGCCTGGAGGGGAGACAGAGTTTGGAGAACACTCAGCTGACATGGGCATCTTGATTGATTTTCTTTTATCATAAAACTCCTGATGGCAGTGGGTGGGGTCAAGAGTGTGTCCTGTGACTCATGGGAAATGTGGGGATTTCTGTGCTCCTCGAAGACGTGGCTGTTGAGGTCATCTTGCCAAACCAGGCAGCTATTTCCAGAGGGCTCCTCTGCTGAATGGAGCTACTGAAACACCAGTGCAGAGCTCACTGTGCACGTTCATGCTGCGAGATCTGATCTTACAGTTGCTGATCTGAGCTGTGCCCTCTCACTAGGCATTTTCAGTTGCCTTTATGATCTACAAAATCATTCTGTCTCAGTTCTAGACACCTGCATTTCCTAACTCTGTGTGTGTGTTGATGTTGGTGCTCTTGCTCTACCACATCCACCCATCTGCCACAGGAGTACAGAGAAAGTCTCCATACTCACAAAGTCCTGGAGGGGAGAGATCCAGGTGAATGGCCTTGCAGGAGGCCCCAGCTTTGCTGGAGTTTGTTCCTATCTATGCACAGTTAGGTAGTTCTGCCAAGAATTAATTCAGGATGTTCTGAGCAAGGGAAAAAAGGGTGCTTTGTAGCACACTAGGCTGTGCCAACTCTTGTGGAGGCTGAAAAGAAAAATATTATCTTTGAAAGGTTTTAATCCTCTTGGTGAATATTTCCTAAGCCTGTAGGAAGGGTCCCTACATCAGCCATGTTCTGCTGGCACCTTTGCCCCACTCCCCTGGATTGTGGCACTTCCCTTGCTTAGTGGAGTCCTGTGGTGCAGATGTACCCAAGTTCACCCACCAGCACTGCCTGCAGAGCCAAACTTTCCCTTTCGCTGCCTAGTCCATATATCCTCTTCCAATAAACAATCAGAAGAACTGAGGTATACTAATATACACAGAAAACAGTCATCAGCTGTAACTGAATAATTACCATGAAGCTCCTTCTGTACATATCTATCAGTAGCTTTTAGTTTTGGCAGTTGATAAGCAGGAGGAGTTCCAAGTGGGAGGTGAGATAACATATTCTGGATGATGACAAAGGAAAATAATGACGTTTCTGCTGCAGCCACATCCTGCAGCTCTACCCTCAAGATATTAATGGTGCTGTCCCAGAAGTTATCAGATTCAGGGTCACTCTGGTCTCAACATGATTTGCTACAGCACTGGATTATCATGGGAGGATTCACGTAGCTATTGAGGTTCATGCTGACATACACCTTTACACCTATCTCCTTTACACCTTCTTATTCTGTCTTTTGAAGCTTGGAGTTGCCCATTCCAGAACTAGGAGGCTCACCCATCTGACATTGTGTGACAGTCTTTTAACAATTACACACTTACAATTTAATTAAAATCCAAGTTTTCCACTTGCTAGTGCACTTATTGGAGATGAAAATAAATTCCCAGTGTTTCCATGCTAAAGTAGGTCTAGGAAATTATAAAAAGAGGGATGAGAATTAGCAATGAGAACAGTTGCATCGGGATACAGTCTCTTCTATCTGCAGTAGATACTACAGCACTTAAGAGTGCTGAGAGAGTCCAGTGTTTTAATTTCTATTCATTTTGGAAAGAAGTTCACTGTTCTACTTTTTTTTCAAAGCACTTATTTTTGCTGGTAGCAAGTTCTTCAGGTGCCAGACTCTAATGTTTGCATGGAGTTTTTTAGATAAGGGCATTGATTCATAAAAGCTTTGCTACATGAGAGAAGGGGCTGATGGTTTATCCTACCCACCCATCCCAGGAGGATCCATGATCAATCTGTACTTTTTGTAGATGGCTCTCAAAGCCAGAAAATACTACACAGAGCTGTGTCAGGGACATAAATCAATCAGAGCACAGAGGACATTCCCTTGGGAATAAGGGAATGCAGTTTGGGCAGCACAGTTGTTTGTGTGACTCGATGGGTATTGGTGTCACAGACAGGATCTCCCTTGAAGCAAAACTGTTTATTCCCAAACATGATAATTGCTAATTTTTATGATCGATCATTCTGTGATAAGACAATCAGAGTAAGGTACCTTCCTTCCTTTCTTTTTTTTTGACTGTATGACTGTATGACTTAAGGACTTTTGACTTTACAAGTTATTTTTCAGGTTTTTTTGTTTTGGTTTGGTTTTGAAGTTAATGTGCACATTGTAACTTAGTGCTTTCTGGGGAGAAAGGGGTGAAATTTTGGAAATTAACTTTTACGAGGGGCCCCCCAGATAAGCTCACCCCGGTTTTGCTGTAATGTAACTTTTAAGAGGGGCTCTCTGGAGAAGATCACTCCAAATTTGTGGTAACATGGAACATAATGTGCAAGCTCTTACTAATCTGTTAGATGAATTTGGTGCCAGGCCATCTCTTCCGGGAATGGAATGGGCACAAGATAATTGGTGTAATATTCAAGCAATTGTTGATTGAATCTCTACCCTGCAGGCAGGGGCGAGAAAAGGTAAAGGAAAACCTATCATTTGTTCAATGTTAGGTGCAGCTGTAATAACTGCAATTAACAACAAAGAACAGCAGCAAAAAGCTCACATGAAAGTGGTTAACTCACTGCAAGAATTGGTTAAGTCTTTGCAGATGCCGTTGGAGGAACAAGCGGCTACTGCCACTGTCCTCCAGGAAGAGATAAGGAATGAAAGGGCTACAGCCCGTGTGCTTTGAGAGGAGCTGTATGCAAGATTAATGAGAGAAGGAAAAAGGGAGTCAGAACTGGAGTCCTCTAAAGAAATATACCCTCTCTCTGACTTAAAACCTTTGCGTGATCAAGTGGAAAAGCTATCGGTGTCTCTCCGTCCCCTAATTAAAACAGAATACACATATGAGGGCTCAGATGACGATACACCTCAAATAACTACAAAAGAAGTCCCTTATACAGCAACTGAATTAGCTAAATTAAAAAAGGAATATAGCAGAACTCCTAGAGTCTTGAGACTGAGTATGTTTGGAGAGTCTCTCTTACTGGGGGTGATCAAATTTTGTTATCAGAAAAAGAGGCTGAAGGATTTTGGGGAGCCGGAGTTTTCCTGACCACAGGAGATAACCCTGCACCTTGGTTCCTTACCCAAAGAGCAGCCTATTGGGCTGGAGGACTCAACCCCTTAGAAAGGGGAGATCCTCTGGCTATAGTGGGAAATGTTAATCAGATTGTAGAAGGTGTTCAAAAGGCTGCTTGTTTACAAATGATGTATGATAGGGAATTAACACCAATTCACCAGACGTGAATCCCTTATGATGCTGCCTGTAGACCCTGAAAGAACGATTCCCCTTATCAGGGGACTCCCTGAGGCTATGAAGCCCTTTGGCATTCAGCTAAAAGGACAAGTAGAAAGCCTCACCAAAGGGGAAAGAACTGCAGCCACTTTAAAAGCAGCTTTAACCCCCAGATGTTACCGTGGAGAAAATAAGATGTGGACCTGGGGATAAGTGGCACAGGAATTAATTAATTATGGAAGAAAATATGGTCCAGTACCCTCAGTTACTACTGATACTAAATCAATTCGGCGCACAGAATGCAAAAGTACTCCAGCAAGACTCAGAAAGGTAACGTTCTCCTCTGGACAAGGAGGACCCACTAACACTGGGGGATACAGGGAAAAAAGGAATGCCCTGTGGATTGTGGGCTTGCAAAAAGGAATCCCAAAGTCCCTAATGGATGGCCAACACACAGATAAATTAGAGATATTAATTCAAGAATGGCCAGTAAAGGAGGAATCCCTGAAAACTGTCCCTGCTACAGCCCCTGCCCTGGAGGGGTCACAGCAAGGGGAGGTGACAGGAAACTCCTCTCTTCGTCCTCAGTAGGTAAGCTGGGGGACGAAGGCTGGTTTTACATTAGACGGCTTACCAAAAATTCCAAAGGAGATTTGTTAATAACCTTTCCTATTGGTCCCCGCAGAACTCCTGTAACTTTTTTGATAGACACTGGTGCTCAGGTATCTGCCCTGAAAATTGAAGATGCATCTGCATGTGGAATCACTCCCTCACGTAAAGGCATATTTGTTGCGGGTGCTTTTGGGAACATACAACCTCAGATAACAGCAAAGGTAAGATGCTGGTTACCAAGGGAGGAGAAAGCAGTTGAAACCCTAATGATTTTGGGTAAACTTCCTACCAATTTCTTGGGACTAGACCTCCTGAAGGGAAGGTCTTGGACTGATGAGGAAGGAAACATATGGGCTTTTGGAAAATAAATCCCACATCTGTGTTTACTAAGTCCTGCCCCTGCTCTTCCTCCCTCCCTAGGAACCAATGTCAAACCTTACCCCTTACCCTTGGGAGCAAGGGAAGGAATCACTCCAGTTATTGGAGATTTAAAAGAAAAAGGAATATCCCTCCTGAAAAGGTAAAACCTCCTTCACAAGACGTAAAATTCCTGGGAATTTGGTGGAAGGGAGGAATGGTTTGTATTCCCCCAGACACACTTACCTGCCTAGACCAACTTAAAACACCAGAGAATAAAAAAGATTTGCAGCATGCTTTAGGCCTGCTGATTTTTTGGAGAAAACACATCCCTGATTTTTCAATAATTGCATGGCCCTTAGATGATTTATTGTGGAAAAAAGCAAGGTGGGATTGGACCCCCCTTCACGATGAAGCCCTACAACTCCTGATTTTTGAGGCCAACACATACCACTCATTAGGCCCCATACACCCTACCGATCCAGTACAAATTGAGTGGAGATTCGCAAGCTCCAGACTGTCCATACACTTATGGCAGAAAGGACCTGATGGTCCCACCAGGCCTATAGGGTTTTATTCACGCAGTTTCAAAGATGCTGAACAATGATATTCTATCTAGAAAAAAAGACTTATTTGTGGTGAGTATTGCTTTTCCTGAAACAGAAAAAATTGTCCATCAGCAACCTCTAATTTTAAGGGGACCCTTCAAGGTCATCAAGCCTGTTTTGACAGGAACCCCACCCCCTGACGGGGTGGCCCAGCGAGCTACTGTTCGGAAATGGTATGCTCAAATTGAACCACCATTTATTGCACCATTTTTCAGGTAACAGAGGGAGCTCGCAAAAATCTTCCCTGACAAGATGAGGTTACTTTAAAAAGCACAGTTGATTCTCCAGCTTCTGTGATTGAAGCATCACCCCCATACTCAGAACAATTGCAGAATGTGTGGTTTACTGATGCCTCAGCTAAACGGGAAGGTAAAGTTTGGAAATATCATGCTGTAGCTTTACAGGTACATACAGGAGACAAAATAATAACTGAAGAAGACAGTGCACAGGTAGGAGAATTAGTAGCAGTTTGGAGTGTATTTAATCATGAAGCCGAAACCTCTGACTGTATATGTCTACACTGATTCTTTTGCTGTGTTCAAAGGGTGTACTGAGTGGCTCCCCTTCTGGGACAAAAATGACTGGGAAGTGAATAGAGTCCCTGTTTGGCAAAAAGAGAAAGGGCAAGAAATTCTTGCTATAGCAAAGAAAGGGAATGTTTTAGTCGGATGGGTAGCCTCTCATCAAGAAAATGAAACTCCCGCTAGCCGCTGGAACAACAAAGTAGATGAACTGGCCAGATTAGCCCCTCTAAGTGTAAAAACTCCTGCAGAGTACTGGGACAGATTGTTAGAGTGGTTGCATTTAAAGAGACAGCACACAGGAGCACAAGACCTATACAGAGAAGCAGGAAGCAGGGGGTGGCCAGTAACTCGAGAGATGTGCTGCACCTGCATATCCTCACGTGAACAGTGCAGAACCCGACTCGAGCGTCATCCTTTAGAACAACCCCCGTTACATATCAGAGACAGAAAAGGGCTGTGGGACACATGGCAGATAGACTATATTGGACTCTTTCGAAAGTCTGAAGGAAAACAGTATGTGTTAGTGGGACTGGAAGTCAGGTCAGGATTAGTGCAAGAAGAAGCTTTCCCTCAAGCAACCAGTACAAACACTCTAGAAGCTCTTAAAATGTGGTTCAGTTTTTTCCCAAAACCTGTATCTATCCAATCAGATAACGGGTCACACTTCACAGCTGCCATCGTCCAGGAGTGGGCCAAGGAAGAAGGAATCCAGTGGATATTTCACACCATATTATCCACAAGCAAATGGCATAGTGGAAAGAACAAATGGCCTGCTTAAACAATTTCTAAAACCTCAGAAATCCAGCTGGACTGATCGGTCCAGTTACAACATGGGATGCTGTAAAAATGGTGAATGACAGATGGGGAGTAAATGGCTGTCCCAGACTCAGAGCTTTTTATCCACAGCCTCCCTCTCTGATACTAGCAACATCAAAACATGAGAGTAATCAGAAACCCTCTCACCTTCCTGGACAACCTGTATTAGTGGAACTACCTTCTGTAGGAGCTGTACCAATGGTACTCACCACTCCCTTGAACATATACACCTGGAAAGCAAAAGATACTTATGGAAAAGAACACAAAATAAGCTCTCGGTGGATTGTTCCTACATTTTAATGTTGGGCCCTAAAAGGGGCCAGACAGAAATAAGTAACCACACTAGAAATTTGTTTTATGCAATGCAACTGCAAGAAGTGTTAGATGGAACATGGGTTACCAACATCCTAGAGTCTTTTGGACTCACTGGATGGGGAAAATGGATAGCACAAATTGGAATAGCAATTGTCATTGGAATTTTGTTCCTAATTACTGGCATTGGCCTAGTTAAATGCATGATAGACCGCTTGCTTGTTTCTTTCTCCCCCTCTGTTCGCTATATTCGTATTACCACCACTGAAGAAAACTACCTTGATGTGCCAAGAAACAATGTCGAACCACAGGGTGGTGTGTAACAGACAGATAACATAAAAATGCCAAAAATTATGTTTCGCCATTGTTTCTGCCTGTCAGAAACTTCCTACCAAAAATTCTGTGTCAGTTTTCCACCAGAAGTCCTCACCAGAATTTTCCCACTGGAGTTTTCCTGCCAAAAGATCCTGGTATTGTTCATGATTATCATATCTCTGTGAACATCTGAATAGGGCTACGTGCCAAGAAACCACACACAACCTCCTCGGAACACTATAAAAGATGAGGAAAAGTTTGGGAAAAGCAGGGAAAGAGGAGTGGGAGAGAGAATTGGCTATAGCAGCTAAGGATCTCTCCTCCGCCTCGCCCTCACCTTTTCTTCTGCCACCGTAAGCTGCCTGCCGTCACCAGAGACTGGACCTCTGCCGTCTTGAAGTGGACTGAGACCCACCGTGCCACCCACGTGAGTTTCTCCACCCTAACCGTATTTCTGAGGGCTGAGAGGTGCAGGTCGAGACCTCCACACAGCCTGGGACACAGCCCGGTGTGAGCGGCGGTGAGGCCCACAGCCTGGCTGCATTCCAGAGAACTAAGACCCCCTGCAGCTAAAGAGATAACATCGAAAGCGGCAGAGACCAGAGAAAAAAAAGGCAAAAAACTGCTTCTCTCTCTCTCCCCGCCACCCTACAGACCAGCTCGGATGAAAAGGTAGTTTTGGTGGTATCTTTTCTCTGCTTCTAAAAGTAATCTTAGCATTTTCCAACCTTTTCTTATTTTTTCCTCTTTCTCTTTGCATCTCTTAGCAATTAATAAAAAACAGTTTTGGTATCAACAGATAACTTGTATGAGTTTTAATTTTGCTCAAGGGAATATTCGAATCTAAAAACTCTTTCTGCAATATTTAAGCAGATCATAACAATGGGGAAGACTCCTGGAGCTGCCAACCCTGCTAGCCTGCCTTCAGGTGGGACCTTGCTAATGGGCTGTTTTACCCAAAGCCAACCCCTGTGGAGTAATTCAGCCTTCCTTGTTGATTAACTAGAAGCAAAGATAAAGGAATACATAAAAGCAAGCTTATGGATGCCTTTGTTTTCCCAATAGCTATATTAGACTGCTATTGCACACACACACACAGAGAAAAATCTGTAATCCTCCAGCCACTGAAAAAACCCCATGTAAGTGGTTTTAAAAAACCAGAATCTTTCCTATTTAATCAATAGGCAAAAGCACATGCATGCAGAGCACCGTAAGAACTTATTTAAAAACTAAATAGCACTTACAGCTGCACCTGAAGTGCTTTGCCCTTGGGCTGAGCAGACAAAATGTTCTCTGCAGGGCTGCAACACTTTTGTACATTAGAAGCGACCAATGACACTGATATATAGACCATCACTAGAAATACAAATGTTTGATTACTTCTTCCAGCAATGTGGTCCAAATAATACAGGTCAAAAAGAGATTCCCAGGACTATATGATTTGCTCAGACAGGTGTGAATTGCCCTAGATATTCCAGGTATTCACAGCTTCATTTTCTTTCCTTTGAGCTTTGCTTCACTTTTCATGAATACAGAAGCTCCAAAAATGTTTGATGATGCTGCATTAGCCAGGATAGTAAAGCCCAGGGCAGACAAGGAGAATTCAGGTAAGGATCTCACAGTACCAAGCAGCTGAATAACAAAACGGCCAATAAAAATAAATGTAAAATTAAGTACCTGGGTGAATACCTCCAACTTTAGAGGCATGTGGTATCTGACCCTTCTGACTCAGAAAATAGATTTGGAGCTATGAAAGATAGTTCTGACCAAGCAGTGCTGCACTTTTGCTCTGTGTCTTACTCTCCTCAGATACCCTCTGCTGCTGGGCCAGGTGAGCTCCTAGGCTGGCCCTGTCGTCGTTCTTACAGTCAGTTTTACTGAAAGTATTATATATTTCCACTTCCTGTGAACAGATAGCTTTCCTGCCAGCAACTGGCTTGATCATCCTGATAATAGTAGCCCCTGGAAGCAATTGAAAGGAGACACAGCAAATAGATTTGGATAGTTACAAAACAATTAACAAAACAACTATAATGTGATTAGACATAGCACAGTTCAAATGAACCACTTTCAGATGTATTAGAGGCAACTGTGAAGGTCAGATCTACAAACCTGAGGTAAGGAGGAGCTCTGCACTTAAGTAAATCACACTTAAGAGCCAATAAGAAAGTGCATCTGTTCACACTTATTTCAACTTATCATTTTAACCTCTATGTGAAGAAGGGTTATGTTTGTAGATGCAGATGAGCTTCCAGGGGTTCGCAGATAGCAGGCAGTGCTATATTGCAGCAGCAGGTAGCGAAAGCAAAGGAAGGGAGCAGTTCCACTAGTCCTGCTGGACTAGTGCAGCTTAGCTCCCAATTAAATATTCCTGCCAAGTATCCCAGTAATACCCTGGTGTCCTCACCTCCTGCAAGGGGCTCTCAGCTGTTCTCCACTGTCCCTTTCCCTCCCAGGGCAGCACTGCCAGCTCCAAGCACCATGTTTGGCTTTCCCAAGGGTCTGTGCAAGGCTGTTGGAACACAGGAGGCTGGTAACCCTGCTTACTAGTCAAGCAGCAGCTGCTGAGCAAGCAAAGAAGAGCTGCAGGCTGATTTCTCCCCTCTTATCACCCCTGATACCAACAGATTTTCTCTACTGTCCATCTGCAAATTGTCATATGAATGACATGAAACTCACATCCAGGCTACCACCAAAGTAGGTGAAGATTTGCTAACATTTCAAACTATTTTTGCTATAGACAAAAAGGATTATTAAATCCAAGAAGTCCACTTGGTTTCCTACATCTTGTTTCCTCAGGAGACAGAGCTGGCAATTCCTGTTAGCACCACAGAAGGTGCATGGCAATGGGGAGCATTTGCTTCCAAGCAATTTGGCTGCAGGGAGAATAGGAGGCAACAGCAACTGTTTTCTAGTAGCAGAGCATCCAGGACTTGTCCACTCCCTTCCTGCACCCACATTAGGCCTAAGCTTGTCCAAGGCATCTTTTTAAATAAATTGGTCATTTCTTTGCTTTAGCCTTACTTAGCTATTCAGCACAGTCATAGATGACTGAACTCCACAGGGAATCTAACAAATTGATCCCTGATTCACAGCTCTTAAGAGAGGATATATTTTTCCCACTGCCATTATGATTAGATGTATCATAGCAATAACTTCCACCATTCTGAAATATACTCACAATAAGTTGCTTTTCAGATTGATTGAATGCTCAAGCTACACTTAAGCTATTAAGCCATCAGCATCTGTTTATTGTTTTCATTTCACAGAGAGGTTTCTTTAAATAAAAGTGTATTAAATATTTGTTACCAAAGTTAAAACTTTATCAGGATGAATAGAAGCTTCTTTACAGCCAGAGTCTCTTATTCCCTTTGATTCATATGCCAAGGCTACTTCAATATCACCAGTTATACCTGTCCACGAGCAGGTCTGCCCTAGGGACAATAAGAGTGATTAAACAAGATTAATGAGGAGATAGGCTTGAGTACAAAAAATCCGTCATGGAAATGTGAGCAAGTTGCTAGTGTATTTGATAGCAGCAATAAATGAGACCTGTTAGGGGCAGTATTATTGTAGCAGTTAGCAGTTGCCAGATCAAAAGCCACATATGAAGGGAGCAAGGGCTGCACAGTGCTCTGCCATGCTGGAAGTGACCTGGCTACCCAGAAGCACGGCATTAGCCCATCCAGCTGTCAAGAGATTGTTTCAGCTGCAGATGGGGAAGTCTACACTTAAAAAGAGACTTCTGCCAAGGAAGCAGCTTCCGTCAGGTTCAATATATTGATCTGGGTGGTGTGACTGAAGAGGGCACTCACCCTGTATGCTCAATGCTGGAGGTACTGCTCAGCACTACCAGCAGCACCTGTATCTCACCGCCCCTCAGCCTTCTAGCATTTGGCAGAACAAGCTCAACGTGTAAGAGTTTAACAAGTGCATTGATTCACTAGGAGGAACAGCTGAGGAGCAGGAAGGATTTGGAAACTCTCATCTTCTGTGTCCTGTGTTCCCTCAAGGTTAGCAAACCCAAGAAGGGTCACACATCTGTCAGGAAAAAAATCATTCTGTTTCTCAGTCTTACAAAGTTTGCTGTTTTAAAGAGTGACAGGGTGAGGACTATCAATCACATCATGCCAAAATGAAGCAGCAGTTACCTTCTATTCCAGCTTTTCTGGGTAACAGCGATCACTGCTAATAGTGCAGTTGGAGGTGGAGAACAAACCCTGCACAGCTCTTGGAGCTTAGAAGTTATAGTTACTCAGGTTACACAGTCTTACACATTGAAGGCAGAACTTAGCCTTACAGCTTGCCTATTTAAAAGCATTATTTATTCTGATCAGGCATTTAGCCTTCTAAGCTAGTAGCCTTTCCAAGTTGTACAAGCTACTTTGCAGAGAGGGTATTTAAGGCACGAATTTGGACTGATGTATTAAACTCTGATTGAAAGAGACTGAACCTAGTACAAAAGGTGACCAAGTAGGATAAATTAATCTTTAAAACAGCTTTGTTGACACTCAACTTCCTTGAGACATACAGTTAAACACAGGGTAAGCAGGTCTTGGCTGCAGCATTTATTGCTATGCAGCTTATAATTTGATGATCATACCCCAAAGCCCCTGTTCGACACGACTTCGCACCTGAACTTGACTGACAGCTCAGACTTAATATTCAGTTTAATGCCACTTTTGTCAGCATTGACTGAAGTTAAACCGTACGCATGGCCAAGGCAGCCTTACCGGGGTCCTGGCACAGACCTTCATTTCGTCCCTGCGGAGTCACACAGCCCGCACAAAGTCGGGAAAGCTGCAGCCAGGGGCGATGGAGACTCGCGGGTGGGACCAAGCCCGGCCCAGGGCTCTGCGCGGGGCTCCAGCTCCCTCTCCTGTCCTCGGCCCGGGATCTCCGCTCTGCAGACACAGAGTCTGCTCACGCGGGCACGCGTTCAGACTTTTCTCTGATTTAGCATTTTGCTGGCCACCACGCTTGCAGTTTGAATAAAATCAGGGTAAAACTTTAGCTGCATCAGATCAGCAGAAACCAGGGCCAAAATCACAAAGGTGATAACCCCATCTCAGCAAAATGCATTTGTGATTGAAGGATATATCACAACTTCTTCCTATACAAAAGGAAATCGGGAGAATTTTACATCTCTTGTGCAAATAGCATTCACCTTTATGGCAACAAGAGGAGGAAAACCCAATGCCACATTCCCAAGCGCCCTGCTCCCTCCAGTTAGGCTCCTTCTGCCTTTATACGGAGGCAGCACTGAGCAGTGACTCACCCCAGGCTGCTACAGATTAAGGTCTCAAGTATACAAGCAGGAACCACAGAGCAGGAACAGTCATACCTCTAGGAGAGCTAAAGATTAGCAATCCCACAACAGAGAGACTAGGATTTATAGCCCTGGTCTGAGTTTAAATGGTTCCTAGGACCGTGGGTAGGGATGTGGGTGGAGGCTCCAGGTGAAGCTGCTCAGCGCCTTTAGAGTATATCAATGCCCCCAGGCCCCCAGTAACGTGTTTGTCTGTTAAAGAGAAAAGAAACAAACTACTGACATTTTGCTAAAGGAGGTAATAGGTGAGTTAGGAGAAGAAGGATAAGGACAATCCCCCTGGCAAAGCCCCAAAGCATCCCTTAGCAAACACAGATTCAGCTCCTTGTATTGGTAATATGTTTCCATGTGATCTTGGAAAATGATGAAGGTACTTACATGTTTTTCAGTACATTTAATCTAAAATCACACTCCTATCTATCTTTAAACTCTTTAAAACATGCTGAACTTTAAATTTGCCTTGACTTGTGGCTTATACTGTTGGTGGGAGCTTAGGACAAGAATAAAGACTAAAAATGCTGCCTGGGGACCGAATCAAGGTGATTTCTCCGTGTGGCCCAACCTTTGCTGTCTGTGATCCCTGCTGTGAGCTTTCCAAGGCAAATGTCTGTGAACTGCACTAGAAGGCAAAGGTACTGCAGCTGCCAGGCGTGTGGTGGCTTGTTTTACCCAGCTGGGCAGCACTTGGGACAGTTTCTAGAAAGTGGGCAGGCACTGTCAGGTGGTGTTGGGAGAAAAAGGCAGGCGTTTTTCCTTTAATGCTTGATTCTTGCCAGTGCTCTGATTTTCCTAGTCTGAGCAACATATGGGATGGCAGTGCATGCCAAACCTCCCTTCTCATGGGCACTGTCTTACCCATTTTTGTGCAAAGCAGCTGTTGCCCAAAGCTCTGCTCTCCTTTTCCTTCAGCAAAGGACGGTCCCTGATAAAGGTGACTCCTGTACGAGCACATGTGAAGCACAGCTGTCATGAATGAGTGTTTTAGGTTGCTCAAAGAGTCACTAGCAAAGGTATCAGCAAAAGCAGGTTTAATATTAAAGTGAAGGCACAAGAGACTTTGCTGGTAAGGTTCACTCTACTGCTTACTAGATGGTTAAAGCATATAGAGAAAAATTGGACTAAAACCTAAATTCAATCAATCTGAAACTAAAATCAACAAAAAATTATCTACCTGGAGGCTGGGAATGGGAAAAGGGTAAGGATACAAAGGAATAAGCAAGACCCTCCCATTGAGTAAGAAGGTTCAGAGTGGACCCCCTTGCCAAACCTAGCTCCAGACTTGACCAACAATTTAGGCCTAAAGGTTTTAACAGTACTTTACAAGACCTTATTTAAACAATTTAACAAAAGATTCATACAGGATTTACTGGAGCACAACAGTCACTCATTCCTGGGCCTAATTTACTTACCAATCTAAAGTACTTAAGAATCCAGCAGAGCAACATTGATCATACATTTGCTAGAGCATATTCACTCTCACGCACATACACACCTGAGCCAGTCTTGGCCTCACATGGGGCATTCACTGACCCTCCTGTGCTCCCCTCAGCAGCACCCCAAAATGCGGACTGCTAACAAGTGGTGATTACTGCTTTTGCAGGCTGGCCATGCCCAAGATCCAGAAGAAAGAGGGCCATCAGGGCAAAACAAAAAAGCGATAGGGGGAACCCATTTCTCACCCTACTTAACAAATGGGGCCATCTGTCAAGTGATGTATCTGTTAGGTTTGTTTCCTGATTTCCAGCCCAAGGCCTGGGCTCCTCTGTAAACTGTGTGCTTCCCACTGTTTCTACATCCCTGCCAGTGTCTCTGCTCCTTTCACCACTTCCAGCCTGGGGCAAGGCTGTCCACCAGCAGGTATTGCAAAGATTACCCTAACCCACAAACTTATCTTTTTCAGCATAACCGACCTGCTACATTAGTTTCTGACTCCTGCTGAACAACCTGCTGGAATACCCTTCCATCCTTTGTATGAAATGTCCCAGCTCACTGCTCAGCCTTCCTTTTGCTTAGCCCAAGGGCAAAGATCTTTTGTTTTCCTTTCCAGTCCCCAGTGTCCTTCCTCCCCTCATTATCGAAAACACATGTATGGGAGATAAGTCTCATCACCTCCTCACTGCCTGAGCCAGCACAATTCCTAATCCCTCTCAAACCGCCAGGGGAGCCAGAGCCTGACACACGTAATCCACTCCTGAACTCTCCAGAACACTTCAGACATGATTAACTATCCCCACCACAGCACACCTCCCTCCCCCAGCCCTCCACTCAGTCGGAACAGCCAAAGCTGCTCCACAGACCACTCCAACTGCTGTCCCTTTGCCATCAGCTCATACATGTGAGCCCACCCTCGTGTCAGTGCTTTTTGCCTTTGCTTTGAGTCAGGCCCACCTCTCTCCCTTTTTCTTGTTCTCACGTGCTTCTTAATGCTTTTATCATCAGGCTCATGCCCATTTTCATCTGCGTGAAACAGGAGGACCCAGCCATGCAGACTGTAAATCCTTCAACATTAAGCATTTTTCACTCTGTGTGTGTGAGCTCGTTTGCATGTTTTTTTCCTTCCCATCTGGAAGAGGCACAGCTGTTATTTTTATATCAACTCTGAGGCAGCTAATATTTTAAATATTGCTTATTAAAAAAGAAAAGGCGAGCGAGGGTACATCAAACCTACAGAGGCTCATGGGGTTACATTTTAAAGTTTACATACATCTCCATATGTAAACATTGGCCTCTTTGATACAGCTGTGCCTTTTTTCTGAAGGCTGCAAGATGTTCTAGAGATATAAAGGGCTCAGCCTCCATGGGGCTGCCTCTGACATTGCTCAGCACAGCACTTGGCGAGTCGGCTCACAGAACCTGGCCAGAATCATATTCTCCCAGTGCTTGGCTGGACTGGGACCAGAGAGCCCAGTGGGTGTGAGGGTGGAGCTGTAATTAATTCAGGCTCACACTGCCCCTTGGAGGAAGAGATGGCTGTGAGAGCTGTTCAAAATGGGAAAATACCACTCTCTGGAAATTGTGTTATTGGAATGTTATTATTTTTTTTTTGCTAAAGGCAAAGCAAATGCATGAATGTAGGCTTTAAATAAAAGAAAAGCCTTGTTTAAAGCTTTAAAGTAGAAATTATTTAAATGTGTTCCCCCTCCTTCCCATTCCTTGCCTTCTTCTCTTCATTCTTATCAAAAGATTAAAAAGAAATAACGGAGGTTGTTACAATGGAAATGAACCTGATTCAATGTAAAACCCTTAACCATTCTTATCTGTTCCGAAGCTGTAAAAGTAAGCTAAGATTTTGTCAACTTATGATCCTTTTCAGGACCTGTGTTTACATCACAAGGAACTTAGAAGATTATTTATGGAAAATAAAGAGGAAGAACAGAGAGCAGGTGAGACCTTTCTGAGAGCACACAAGTGCATAAGACTGGTGGCAGCAAGGGGGAAATGCCCAGGCTCACAGACACAGGAGTGAGATGGGCACAGAATTGGGAGACAATGCAACTGCCACAGTGGGGACTCAGATTCTTCCCACTGCAGCGTGGCCAAAAATCCTCATTTCTTCTGGAAACAGGACCACAGTGGTCTAAAGCCAGGCAGAAAAGGTGTGGGGTACTTAGCTCTGGGTTACAGGACAGGCAACAGCTATTTCTGACAACCCTGCAAAGCAGGTAAGCTAAACACACATTCGCATGCCTGACTGCCCAGGGATGGGACAGTTGAATGTTTTAGTTTAGGATATGCTTTAATGAATCATGGCTTCTGCCAGGATTTAAGCCAGAACTTTATATCTCCACTGTCTTCACCCTGAGTGACATCAGGTAACTTGTCTGGATGATCGGTTTTAAGCCTTCCAACAACTCCATTCATTTCAGCTGGATTCCTCCTGCGTGCCAGCCCTTTGCAGTCAGCTGTGCCAAGCTCCAGCTAGGAAGGTTGGTAAAGATGGCACTAAAAAGGGAAAAACAAAATTCAAATGAGACCCAGGAGAGCCAGGCTCTATTTCGAGCTCTACGACAGCTTTGCTGGGTAACCACAGGCAGTTCATGCTATTGCTCCTGGCATTCGGTCTGCATCAGTGCATGTGCTGCAACATCATGAGCACAGCAGAAGAGCCAGGAATTATTATTAATAATGCAAGGCAAGGACAGAGCCAGCAGGAACCCAGGATGGGTGGGATGACTCTAGTCCTCACTCTGGTGTGGAGAGATGGTAGACTTGACATTCTGTGCCAACCTGCAGCAACTACATAAGATTATTTTTAAGGTACTTTCATGTTGCTTTAGGGTCAAGGGTTGATGGTGTGCAGAGAGGATCTTCTCTAAAGTTCTGCAAGGGCAAGGGAAAGCAACCATGAACGTGATAAAAGACCAGAGAAGGATTAAGCCCCTTGCTGGCTTCAAACATAAATGCATCCTTATAAAAATAAGGCCATTTCCTTGTAACTGGAGTGTGCAGGAAGTTTGTTTTTATAAGTAGAAAACAGAACCTATTC